AGTATAAATGATAGTATATTCAAAATATGCATAAGCCACCAGAAGCTGTTACAATTTTTATAGAAAAAGAGTAAAAATGTAAACATGTTACACCACTCTCTTTAAAACTGCAGTGTATCTATACCCTGCCATCCCAAGACAGACAATAGTTCCAGGCATTAGTTGCAATAGAAAGAGTTACTGCTGCTACAAATCTTTGTTCAGACAATATTTGAAAAGTTATATTAAGACATTGTTCATGTTTTGTGAAATTACTCAGCTAAGTTTTGGGTTAGCAATCACTTCTACATTGTACTATTTAGAACAGTTCAGCTTGACTTTTGACCTTACGTGAAGATTGTAGTCTTGCTACTTAATTAAAAGCAAAACTTAATTCTAGAGCTTCAGTTTTAACTGTGGGCTTGCCCTTTTCCTCAGGACAGTCACATTTGTGGTTCAGCATGTGCTTTTCCCTACCCTTTGGAGATGGTTTCTTTACTTTTCCCTATCCTCTCTCAGCTGTGTTACTGATCTAATAAAAACTTCACACCTCCCTCTATAAACCTCGCCTTGCATTCAGTGATCCGGAAGAAAGTGTAAAAAGCACTTGCAGTAGATTTCCAAAGGAAATACAGGTGGCTGGTGTAGTAAAGAATGAGGACACGTCACTTACACAGAGCAATGCGGATCACTTCACATGCAGTGTTTTAATGCTGGTAAAGTATATTGTATATGTCTTTAAAAATCTATATATATATAATAAGATGATGTTATCCCACATCCTTGAAAGATGAATCCCACATCCTTGAAAGCAGATTAAGAGGATCACGTGAGTTCTCTAAATGATCCTGAGGGGGTTGCTATTTTCTTGTTGCATCTAATTTAGATGCATTTTTTAAAATATTTCAATACAGAAACACTTGAAGAATTTAGTACCTCTTGTCTGAGAAAAGGTTAAATGGGGCAGTCATGATTTATAGCTACACACAAACAATTAGAAAAGTTGATACTATAGAGGTCAATATAAACAAATCCATAATAAGACCAAAAAAGCTTAAGGTGGAGCTTGAAATGCAAATAGAATGTGAAGTGAAAACAACATAGCTGGGGTTAAAAAAAAAAAAAACTTATTGAGGAGGTATGGGTGAATTCTCATTACTTGAGGTCTTTAAATTCATATTAAATGCTTTCCTAAAATGTATATACTGCAATACAAAAAAAAGTTACTGAATTTAATAGAGAAACTGCTCATTGAAATTCAATGGCCTGTTGAATTTCAGAATAAATCGTCATTATGTTGTCTTCTTACCTTATATATTTATGAGATTTATTTTGTAACATAGAGAATAAATGAAAACAGTTTGCCAAAGGTCCTTTTTCTTTGCAGAGTACAGTAGCATTTAAAGATATATTTAAAGCTAGATAAATTGCAGCTACATCCTGGAAAAAATATGCTTTCTTTTTGTTTGTTTTTCCTATTTCTTGTTCAGAGTTGCACAGACTATTCAGTTCACTTTCTAATTTGCATAATCATGTATTTAGTCTTCAATTTTTCCATTCCTATTTATAAACCATTCACAAACCATCCACTTAAATAACAGCATGATTTGTTGTAAAATTGTTATAGTTGTTTCAGAGGGAAAACGTAGTGCAAATAAATGAAGAATGAACAAGGACTTTGTAAAAATCATGGGCTCTGATCCTGCAAAGAGATTTGTACGTACCTCCAAGCCCATCCCAAAAGATACTGCAGGTATCTTTGCAGCTGTGTAGCCAGGAGGTTAGCAGCAGACAGAAAAARTCCAGGCAAATCAACCAGGCGCACACTATCTTCTGGAGAAATGGTAAAGCTCACAAAGTGCTTCGTACTTTTTTTTTCCCCTCTAAATAAGTAATGTTTAAACTGTGCATATAGAGTTGCCAATATGACTCTCAACACAGGATGCAAGAGCCGGGCTTAAGGGAGATCTGCAGGCAGATCTCTGCCCTTGCTTAAGTTCCAGTGTCTGAGAGAAATGTATCATCCAAGAAGAGGGCTGAGTATTTAAGCTGTGGGTCCAGGAGGGCAAACTCTTCTCTGGGCTATAGATGTTTGTGAGGACTGGTGCTGTCCCAGGGATCCTGAAGGCCCTTCYGCTTCTTGCAGAAGGATTGGACAGTCTGATGCGAAAAACTCCAAGCTGAGTATTTTCACATGAAGTACCTATTCCGTTATTTCRTGTGGAGAAAAAAAATTGTTTGTACACCATTTATCTACTGGGAACAGTTGAGATCTTCCATGAAGAAGCTATATTATATGAGCATTAGTCAGAAAAATTGCCTTTAAAAATGAAGCCTTAAAATGATCATAGTCAATAGTATTTCGCATCAGTTTGCATCAGTCACCGATTCTATTCTTTTGCAGACATGGATAATCCTTGTCTATTCTGACAGTACATATCCCTTGAAGAACCTACTAGATGCTATGTTAAGTTGATAGAACAGTTTCAAAAACAATTGCAGAACCATTGAGAAGTGCAGAATAAGTTTTCACAGTATTTTATTTTACAAGCAGCGACTCAAACAGCAAGGGATGTATGATAAGATTTCAAGTCAAGCATGAAGCCCAAGAAACTCATCCTTGCAAGGTCTGTATTGAGTGTGAATGCAAAGTCTCGGGAGCTTTTATGGGAGAGATGGGAACAGGTGAGAAGCCAATGGCCATGGCCCTGGTGAAGGGATGGAGATACTCAATTGCAGCTAGTTTCTCAGTAATAAAGTACTGAACCACTGTGTTCGTAAGCAGCACTGTTACTTCGACTCCATACAGTCCCTACTTCTATGCACCTCTATACATGCCCAGTTAAAGGTGCATTTTGATACTAGCAATAGTGAGTACAGCTAGGAGTAATGCCCTTCTTAAAAGAAGAAGGCTTTAGCCTCCATACTTAAAAGCTACATGCTGAAATATATTTTTACTTCTTAGGTTTTACAGCATAAGGCTGATAAAAGTTCCAGGGACTCTTCCTAACTAATGGTTACTTCTATGGCTGCAACCAAGCTCTAGGGGCCAGCATTTCTTTGATGKATTTATGCCTGGGAAATGTTTGATTTCAGACTGTCTTCATAACCAGTGAAATGGTGTTTCCATGGTCAGTTAAAACAGCTTTTTCTACAAGGAGCCAGCTTGTGAGGAGCAGCAATGGGTCTTTCTTGAATGAAGGGAAGTCCCACAGGCGCTGCCAGATTTCTCCCAGTTCTTGTCCAGGGRCTATGATCACCTGGGTTTTCGTATTGTATGGTGATTTAAGGATTCAAGGTGGAGCGCTTCTCCTCTTTCCGCAGCCATCATTAGGACTTGGATCCTCCTTTTCTGTACCTGGATAAACCTTTTTTTTTCTGAACAACCACCTCATGAGATCCATCAAAAAAGCAAGGCCCATCAGGAAGATGCAGACTCCTTCTGCTGGTTAAGCAGGAACTCGCTGTCGCTCTCACTGAGTTTTCTTTGCATGGTATCAGCTAAGCCCTCATGTTCCACTGGAGAATCAATGCCTGTAATTTTAATGTTTCATGTTTCAATAATGTTTCATTATTGCTCTTCTGAGTACACAATTCTGCTATGTATGTCCTAGGCAGCTGGTACTAGCATTAGGAGTGGAAGAGATGACATATACTTGCAGAGAGAAGTGAGGTACCAGTGTCAACTATGTTTGTAACAGCTGGCATGAGGCATCAAGATAGTGCAATGAGGCATCATTGATAGTTCATTCCAAATAGAAAGTAGAAAAATTTATGTTCTATGAGGAAAGCTACATACATAATTTACATACATACATCATTTAGATATTTTGTTGTACAGTGCTTTGAAAATTTAATTTCACAGAAAGTCAGTACAACCATTTGACTAAATACTCCTGGGCCTGCAGAGAGTTGGACATTTTACATATATTTTTATGTGCCTTAAGAGGGCCTTACCCTATATCTTTCTCATGTAGAGTGTATTGTATATAGCAATAATACTAACCCTTAAGACAGTAGCAGTGGCTTTTATATCATAGACTATATAGTAGTGATTTTTAAGTAGGGAAGTATTGAACTTTCCCTATGAATATTAAAAATAATCAGAAAAAGAGGTATATTAAGAGCAAAACAATTTGTGTTCCATTGCCCGCTGACATTTTTAAATATGAGCAGAATCATGCTACAGTGTTTCATATTACCTTCCTAGAACTCCTGTATAATTGATTTACTGCTTTGCTACTCCACATTCGTAGCTCAAATAGGACTTTTTTGAGTGTTCAGTGCTCTGATGAGCTGTAACTCGATGACCCACATGGCATTTTGAGCATCCTTACAGCAGCAAGCAGTCATGCATTATACTGGTACAGTGCTTTTCAGCCAATACTCTATCTGACCTATTAGTGACCTACTTTTGTAGCCTGTAAATATTATTTCTGTAATGAAACTATTAAAATAATCTGCTGCATARTATTTTGCTCTGAAAAAGTACAAGTGTTAAATTCATGCTAGATCGGCTTTCTAAAGATGTTTTTCAGCATCATTACCAAAGACCCAATTAGGTAAGTTATATAAGGTAAGGCTTTATGTAGCTTTAAAAGCAGCAAATTAATTTCATGCAACTAGTTAAAGACATTGCTGCTGGTAGACTGCACTGTTTTACCTTGGATTCCCCGAGCTTTCTACCACTTCTACACTGAGTATTTTTTGAGTATTCAGGGATCTGTAATTACAGTTCCGATTGCAGAGTCTTTGGCTCAAACTATAAAAATACATCCATTACTTCTGCTATTACAAATGCAGATTTAACATGAAGTCCTTGGTATGCAGTTATGTTGCTTTTTTATTGTCTGAATTGCCCTTGAAAAACTCTGTTTCAACATCAACACTAGAAGTTCTCTGAATACAATGTTATTTCTGTTACTCTGCAGTGTAAAAAGACCAATTCCACTTACATCGTGATAGAGATCACCTCTTTTGTCAGGAACAAAGGTGGTTTCAGTAGTGACATAATCTCAACTTTCATAAATTCTTCACAAAACTGTTTCCACTGGCCTGGGAGAGAATAGAGAACAGTGACTGAACTTAAACACTTCTGCCAGAAAAAACGTGAAGTTGCAAGGCTGTGCTAGGAAACTATCTGCAAGCGGGAGGAAAATAACAGCCAGCATTACTTTTTTTTCTAGTAGGAATGCTCAGAAAGCAGCGTTTCCACCTCTGAACTCATTCTGATTTTTAGCACAAGTGTCATAAGTCATCAGTGAGTGGCCTAGCAGTGGTGTTATATTACAAAGAATGAATAATTTACTTTCATGTCCCCAAACTCGGTACAAATTCATCAAAAATAAAGAATTTAAAAGTGATGATTTTTGCGGACAGCCTCCAACATAAAGCAAGCTCAGTGCTACACAACTGCTAGAGAAACAATCTGTCTTTAAGAGTGTATATTTTCAGAGAATTTTAGAATCACTTAAGAAAAAAAGGCATTTAAATGCCAAGTGACCTATTTTTTCCTGACCTAAGGAAAATGTCAAAAAAATATATTTTATCTATAATGAATAAAAAAGAAAAAAGGTTTTTTTACCTCACTCTACAGCTAATTTAAAGAGGATGTCCTAGTTTTTTCTTGGTGTGTTTCTTTGATAGACACTCTTCCTATTGTAACTCAAGAGTTAAAAGGAGAAGAAACACAAGCTATGATACCCAGGTTCCACAGCCTCAKTTAGATGGTCTTAGCTATGTGACCTTTGGTTAAACCCCCATATTTCATGGATTGTCCTGCTCTTTTTTTTCTGACCTGGTGAAAATGATTATTAGGCACCAACTGTACACTGTGAACGGTGGCAGCGTTAGACAACTGACAGTTGTTCTCTATTGTTAATACACTCAATTTAAGCTGCTGAAAGATGACAAATTAGTCTCTGTATATGGCTTATGTAATTAATATTTGGTGGTTCAATAAGCAACACAGCTTGCAGCTTCAGTATTTTCACTGTCTTGAACTAAAAATTGATTTTTTTCCGGCAAGAACAGTGAAGACCTCAAAGCATTTTAGCATAGGGGGAGGGAAAAACCCCACAAGGGAGGAGTGGAGGAGTGCATCGGTTCATTTCATCTGCTGTAAAGCTTCAGCTGCTGCTTTACCAGCTTCAGGTAATGCGTTTTTGCAGGATGGGACTGTAACCTGGCCAGGTGAGAGTATTTCCCTGYGGCCAGAAACACCAAAATCTGGCTATCAACAGAATCGGGAAATCCGTATTGTAACTGTGACAACTTAATTCATCTGTAATGCTGCTGAGCAAAGGAATCCCACACTCACAAGCCTGTTGGCAAGAGCTGAGTGAACCTTCCTTTTGCAAGGTCCCAAATAACTCCCTGGGGTCGTGCAGCCACCCAGCATCCTCATTTCCCTGCCCAAAGGGACCTCCCTAGAGGCAAGACCCCCTAGAACAAGGCAAGACCCGCTGGCAGGACATGCAGACAGAGATGGATGCATCCTGCTCACTGTGGAGAATGGTGATGCGAGGGAGAATTGAACAGATCTTAAAATCTAGAACAAAGCCAGAGCAGACCAAGATCTGAGATTAGTTGGACTTTTCCCGTTTCTGGCATCCTGCAAACCCCCAAACTGAACATGTGGATGGTAGTTTACAAACATTTGCCTTCTAGTGGCTCCAATTGTGGCCAGTAATATCCCAAAGAATATTTTTCTTCATGACTGTAAACAAAGGATTATGAGGCAATTCCAGTCCAGATTGTTTAGTTTCCTTTGATGTTGTATAACATCCCACACTCAGAGGGTGAGCTGCCAAAACGGCGTGCTTACTCGCTCAGGTCATGAAWGTGCTGCCAGAAAGCCTCCATCCACTCGCCAAGTTCTTCCCTCCTGTCCGTAGCAGAAAGTTGAGTCACAGCCTCCCCAGCCCTAGTCTTGATAGCAGAAAAGTTAGTAGTTCTTTTCTTGGAGTCGTTATCCACGGTTCGAATTCTATTTTTCTAAGAATGACAACAAGCTGTGGTAATTAGTCAGTACTACATTATTACCACCTTATGTACAGCAACAGTGTAAACACAGGTGTCATTTGACTGTTTACCAGATCCAGGCTAATTTCTTAAAAGTGACAACAACAAATCTACACTCTTAAACTCAGGATTAAAAATTGATAAAAATAAGGGAATGGAACAGAGTCTTACACTCTGGTTGTGTATTACAGACTGTACATTTTATGGTTCCCCTTTCCTTGCCTGCACCTTACACAGTTCATCTTTCCTCAGAATAGTTTGGCAAGGAATCTAAACTGCAAGCAGCTCCTTTTCTCTAAAGTGAATCTGGTCTACCATACTTTTATAGCTGTTATTTAGGTCTCCTATGGTACTTCTGTGAGCCTTTGTTTTTTATCTCTCATATATGGTCTATACTTTTTACACTCATTACAGTCCGTTGTGTCAATTTACTAATACTGCAAAGATAGGATTTAAAAAAAAAAAAAAAAGGAATTTACCTTGTCCACATTTAAAGAAGCATTTGTACCAGTTGAACCATCAGGTTCTACTGGAACAAGTTCCCAACATCAAAATACCACTTTGCTCTAACAAGAACAGAAAAAAAAAATCTAGTAATGTCAAAACAACATTTTGGATTTGTCTTATATAAAGAGGCACATAGAAACATATATTGATGAGAAATACATTTTTTTTCAGAGAAGGTGAAGAAAGAAGATGAAGTTTCTCCATTGTGGAATTACTACAGTATAAAATGGCAGTGCAATACGAAGTTATCCCTAATGAATATATATATGTGTAAGATTTTAGTAGTTTATAAAATACAACTGTATCATTTTCCAGARCAAAGCTCGGGAACGCTACTACTAATTGCAATGCTGACATGAAAATAATGTAGTATCAGTCAGGCTGGTAGGTAGTAAGTTAGTACATAGATTAGATATTTAGCTAGGTAGGTCGTGGGTAGTGCGTATTTAGTTAGATGAGTAGCTAGGCTGATATTTAACTAGTTAGGTGGGTAGTTAAGTGAGAAGTTAGCTTGTTTAGTGTTTAGCTAGTTAGGTAAATATTTTGTTGTGTAGGTACCTAGTTATGTGGGTTGTTACGTGGTCATTTAGCTAGGTAGATAGGTGGGTAGTTAGCTAGATAGATAGGTATTTAGTCAGGTAGTTAGCTAGTTGGGTGAGTAGTTGGTTTCTTAGCTGTGTAGTTAGGTGTGTAGTTAGGAAGTTAGATGGGTAGTTAGGTTGGTGGTTGGGTGAGTTAGCTAGGTGGGAGGTTAGGTAAATGCATAGGTAACAAGCTAGATGGGTAGTTAACAAGCTGGATAGGTAGGTAGGTAGCTCATGTTAGTTATCCAGTAGATGGGTAGTTAGCTTAGGTACATTGTTAGCTATTTAGAGGGGTAGTTAGGTGGGTTATTAGGTATCTTAGCTAGTTAGGTGAGTAGTTAGCTAGTTAGGTGGCTAGTTCAGTCAGCAGTTAGCTAGTTTGGGGGATGTGTTTGTGGGTACCTGGTGCGTTCATTGCTTAGGTAGTTAGCTAGAAGGTTGACCAGTTAGGTGCTTAAACATTTGGCTAGGTAGTTGGCTAGCTAGGTGGGGTTTTAGCTAGTTCATTGTTTAGTTAGGTGGGAAGTTAGCTAGCTAGGTTGGTAGTTAGGAAGTTAGGTGGGCACTTTGTTGTATATTTAGCTAGTTATGTGTGTTGTCGGCCAGTTTGCTAGGTAGATAGGTAGTTGGCTTGTTAGGGGGGTAGTTAGCTTCATATATGGGTAGTTGGATGTGTAGTTAGTAAGATCAGTAATTAGGTGGGCATTTGGCTAGGTAGTTAGCTAGTTGGTTGGGTAGCTAGCTAATTAGGTGGGTTGTTATCTAGCTGGGTAACTAGCTTTTTATGTGGTTATTTGGGAGAGAGTATCTAGTTGTGATGTTAGGTAGTTATGTAATTATCTAGTTAGGTAGTTAACTATAGCAAGATAGGTGGGTAGTTAGGTGGGAGGTTAAATAGTAAAGTGGGCAGATGAGGAATTAGGTGGGGTGTTAGGTGAGTAGTCAATTGGATAATTAGCTAGTCGGTTGCCTAGTTAAATAGTTGGGCAGATAGGTGGGTAATTGGTTGGTTTGGAGATTAGGTGGGTAACTAGTTAAGTGTTAAGTTTGTAGTTAGCTAGCTAGGTGGATAGTTAAGTGGTAGTTAGCTAGTTTTGGGAGGACTGTGTTCATAAGTGGTGAGGAGGAGGAGGGCCACATGTGTCTGGTGAGGGGGGACCTGCCTGCATTTTGGGGAGCCTGGTTTGTGGGGGCGCAAATATGCATGGATGCCAGGGAAGAGGGGAAGTTGGGTGTAGTYAGGTGGCTTGACTGGTGTATAGTTAGCTGGTGAGTAGTTATGTAATTAAGTGAGTAGCTATTTAGTTTGGTGGGCAGTTGGCTTGTTAGGTGGGTAGTTAGGTGTGTACTTAGTAAGGGCATTAGGTTGGTGGACATTTAGCCAGGTAGTTACATGAGTGTTGAGCTTGTTCAGTGGGTATTTAGGTGGGTAGTTGAGTAAATCGCTAGCTAGTTGGATAGTTAAGTGGGTTGTTAGGTGGGTAGATGGCTAGTTAGGGTAGTTACATGAGTAGTAAGATGTGCAGTTGGRTAAATAAACAGGTTATCAGGTGAGTAGGTGGGTATTTAGCTCTGTAGGTGGGTGGGTAGGTGAAAAGCTAGGCATGTAGTTAGCTAGTTAGGTATTTAGGTGGGTAGTTATGTAATTAGGTGGGTAGTTGGGTAGTTATGTAGGAGGGTAGGTAGTTAGGATACTTAGCTAGCTAGGAAAGTAGTTAGCTAATTAGATGGATAGTCAACTAGTTCAAGWTTGTACTTAGCTTGTTAGTTGGGCCAGAGATTAGGTAGCTAAGTGTGTAGTTTGCTACATAGGTGGGTTGTTAGCTTGTTAGTTGTCTGGCTAGGTGGATAGTTAGCTAGATAGATGGATAGTAAGGTGTACTTAGTAAGATTGGGAGTTTGGTAGGCATTTAAGTAGCTAGATAGGTATTTAGCTTGTTAGATGGGTAGTTAGCTAGTTGGATGTGTAGTTAGGTGCATAGTTAGGTTGATTGTTAACTAGGTGAGTGGTTAGCTGTCTTGTTAGGTGCCTAGTTGGGAGGGTAGTTAGCTAATTAAATGGATAGCCCACCTAACTGCACACATAACTACACACCTAACTACCCATCTAATTAGCTCAAGTAGTTAGGTGTATAGTTAGCTACTTTGGTGGGTAATGATAGGTTGGAGTCAAAAATAGGTTGAAAGGTTGGATACATAGCTCATTACATAAGTAATTAGCAAGTTAGGTAGTTAAGTGGGTGTATAGCTACCTAGTTGGGTGGTTAGGTAGTTGGATGGGTTAGGCATGTAGTTAGCTGGATAAGTAGGGAATAGATGTGTAGTTAACTAGTTAGGTGGACAGTTACTCCGTTAGTTGTATAGTTAGGTGGCTAGTTACCTRGGTAGATGGGTAGTTAGTTGGGAGAATAGGCAGTTAGGTGGGTAGTTAGCTAGTTCAGAGGCTATTTAATAATGTAGTTAGCTAGATGGTTAGCTAGTTGGGAGGGTAGTTAGCTAATTAGGTGCTAGTTAGGCATGTAGGTAGTGTGGTGGGTAGTGAGGTTGGTAGTTGGGCATCTGGCTAGGTAGCTATTTAGGTGAGTAGTCAACTTTTTACATGGCTAGTTGGATACATGGGTGGATAGCTATCTGTCTAGATGGGTAGCTACTCAGGTGTCCTATTTGGAGGGTATTTAGCTAGTTAGGGGGCAGATTAGTTGGTTAGGTGTGTAGTTAGCTAATTGGGTGGGTAGTTAGGTAGTTACCCGAGTATACAGGAGCGTAGTTAGCTACTTAGGAGAGTGGTTAGGTGGGTAGTTAACTAGTTAGATGGCAGGTTAGGTGGATAGCTAGGTAGTTGGCTAGTTAGGTATGTTTCTAGGCAGGTAGGTTAGCTGGGTAGTTAGCTAGTTAGGTGCGTATTTAGCTAGGTAGGTGGTTAGCCAGTTTAGTGACTAGGTGGCGAGCGAGTTAAGTGTTTAGTTTGCTGGTTAGGTGTGACCCTGTGCCACAGAAAATTGTAATGGCCAGTTCTGATCTCTTACAAAGAAGCAGATTTAAATCTTTCTTCCTACTTTTATCTTGAACAGTTGTTCAGAAGGATTCAAAATCCCAGTCAGAGCTKCTATGCCAGGCAGTTTTCAGTACCCTGTGCACTTTGAATGGTTACGGGCYCTAGCTTCTCTGGGAGTCTTCCATGAGATGGAGTTGAAAAACTGCTACTGTGAAAATCAATGAGAAAAAAGCTACTTGCTGCTCAGGAGTCTCACCCCTCCCCCCACAACCCCCACACCACATACACCCCCCCATCACACACCACCCCCTCCCTACACACCACACAACTTCCCCACGCACACACACTCCCCCCACAAACACCACACACAGAGCTCCACACATACACACATCCCCCCCCCACACACACACACCCACACCACACCATCCCATACACTCACACACCACACTCAACCTCCCACGTGCACACACACACACACCCAAACACCACACACACCACCTCTCCACCCCACATACACATCCCCCCACCCACATCACACACACACATCCCTCACACACCACCCCATACCACGCACACACCGCATATACACAAACACCCCCCAGACACACACACCCACCGCACACAACACACAGACAATACACACACACGCCCCACACACACGCATCCACAACACACAAACACCGCACATGCACCCCCCCACACACACAAAACCCTTCCTCCCCACACACTCCCTTCCCCCCCAAACCACACACACACACTGCACACACAGACACCCCTCCCCACCACAGACCGTGCACACACCGCATGCACACCACCCTCCCACACACAACACACACACCACCCCCACAGACACCACACATAAAAGAACACACAACCATGCACACACAACACAGACCCCACACACCACACCCTCAGACACACAACACACAAACCCACACACTGCCCCTCCACACTCTACACACACACACACTACACCATCTACAAACACACACATACAACCCCCCCCCACACACACACACACCCATCACACACCTCCATACATATACCCCCCAAAACACCCCAACATACTCCAGAAACACCTCAGACACCCCACACACATAACCATGCACACACCACACACCCCATGCACAAGAAACACACCACCCCAACACCTCCCCCC